AGACACTAAACTGGTGGGGCCACCAAGGCACCCTAAAATTCTACTTGTTCCTTAAGAATTTAGTTACTCATCATTCCCATTAGAAATTTTCTTCCCAGACTCAGTACTGCAACCTCCATGGCTGGTGCTTCCCTGAGTATCCTAGGTATACTCTATCTTGATAGATTTTCATACTCTATTGTAATTCTTCATTTTAGTGTCTGTGTCTTCCACTAGACTATCTTTCTGTGCCTGCTGCCTAGTACAATAGTGATAGTGAGAAAATACTATAATACATCATTTTGAGTGAATAATTGAATGTTAAGTGATTGTGTCAAAGCTCTCACACTTAATAGTAGCACAGCCAGTTCTCCTAATTTGAAGACATTTCTGCAGCACAGTTATCTTTGCTTACCCTACCCTCCAGTTAGATTGTAAATTTCTTAGGCGGAGAATGTGTGTCTTACGTTACATCCCCTGAAGTACCCAGTACAATGGGATCTTTATTCAAGTTACATAATTGAATGATTCCAGATATTAGCCATGGTAAGGTCTAAAAGGGAGAAAAAAGCAACCATATCCAGTAGCATCATGTAAGTTTAAATCCTGCAGTATGTGACTGGAGATACAGTAGTTGTCTTCTGAGAATTTAGAAATTCCAGTCTTGGTTAGTAGGGAATCTGATATCAAGCATCTAAGCTTCTCCTACTGATTTAATTGTCCTTACTTGGCACTATTTTTATGGTCCCAGAAATGGAGCTCAACATAATTCTGTTTTCTAACTATTAAGGAAGACATTTAGGTTCTGATTATATCTCCATTTCCCCTCCCACCCACACACACTGGAAAAAAAAGTAAGTCTCATAATTTTGCCTCTTGCTGGTCCTCCTATATGGAAACAGGAGTTCATTGTTTGCTTGACTAGAAACAGGAAGCCTCTGGGGTAATGTGTCCTCATCTTGTCTGGTTGGTATGGTTTGTGAAATGAAGAGATAAAGCATTTTTTTGGTTCATGATTATAAAAGCAGTAGGTATATATACACACACACACACACAGACACTCTCAAGAAGATTTGGAAAGTACAGATTTCAAACAGGAAGAAAAATAATCACCCACAATCTAACAAAGGATGACCTCAGTAATCTATTCTATATATTTTCTCCTTTTTTCTTGACATTATATAGTTGAAATTATGTCTATGATTTGATGTATCTTTACTTAATCTTATAACAGTTATTGTTCTTTGTTACTAGAAACTTCATAAGCATTATTTTTGCATAGAATTATGTATTATTCTCTATTACTAGATATTTGTGACAAGTTTTTTCTTCTATTTTGAGCAGCATTGTAGTGAACATCTTTGGTTATTATTCTTTGAAGGTATTTTCTTATACAGGTAAGAAGATCTGTATATAAGAAAATGCCTTTAAAGAGTATGGTATCATCAAATAATTGCCAGAAAAGTTTTTCATCAATTTATAGTTCTACCAGCAGTATGAGTTTGTGCCCGTTTCACCATGACCGCAGTAACTCTGGTTATTTTTTAAAAAATATTTACTTAATGAGTTTTTCTAAATGGTTTCTCATCCTACTATGTAAAAACAGCTATTTTGTGTCTTCTTTCCTCCATTCTCCTGTACTAACATTTTCTTATCTGGACTCTTCTTTTCTTCACAGGGGAAAATGGAGATTATCAAAGAGAAATTCCCCTCATCCTACCAAATCCAAAACTTGACTTTCTTTATGCCCACGGAAGAACTTTCCCTACATTTGCCAAGAGCAAATTCCCTACACCAGTACTCTGAATCTTGTTCCTTCCCATGTGCTTCTTAAGGACCTTTCTACTATAATTTGCCCCATTTTCCCCTGGCATCTTTCTGTTTTCCCTTTGCTAGATACTTCTTACCACTTCTCAGACTGTTCTATGATCTCCCATTAAAATAAAATTTAAAACCCATTAAGGTTTGTCCTCTCTTACCACCACCCATTTTTTCTCTATTCAAATCCCTCAAAAGAATATTTATTTATATACATGTCTACATCTCTCACCTCTCATTAAAAACAGGTGCAGAGTGAATTTTTAATTACTCATTTAGAAAATATTTTAGATTGCATATTTCATGCCAGGCAGTATGCTAGTGAGAAGCAAAAAAAAAAAAAAAAAAAAAAAAAAGAAAACAACAAACCACACTCAAAAAATGCCTGTGTCCTCATAGAACTTTAAAAGGGGCAAAGAGTTAATAGTTAAAATTCACAAAATCTTATAAGCGCCATGCAGGAAAGTGGTATGTGTTGCACTGAAGAGATTATAACAGGAAGTCTGGGAAGACTTCCATGAACTAGTAATTGAACTGAGATCTGAAGATGTCATGGGTGTTAACAGGCAAAGAAAATTTGCTTATACTCTAGAACTAAGTTGTCGCTAAGTTCAGTGATCTTATTGCTGTTATATCTGTTGGTACTGGTTGTCATCTTACTTGACCCCTAAGCAGTGTTGGACAGGTTCGATTTCTCCTTTGAATCTTGCTCCTCATGTGATTCCACACTTGCCTGGTGTACCCACTTCCTCTGGCTTTATTTCTGTGGGCTGTTGACCCAGCTTTTTACAGTCAGTATTCCTTAGGGTTCAATCATGACCCTTTTTCTCATGACTTCCTTAGATAACCTCATTCACTCTGATGGCTATAAATGTCATCTATATGTCAAGCCACCTAAATTTATATCTCTAGCCATGGCTTTTGCAGAATCAAACTTAATGAAACCAACTACTCCTTCATTGTTTACTTCTTGAGGAAATGGCAGTTCTATATACAGATTTTTCTTTAAGATTTTATTTATTTATTTATTTATTTATTTATTTTAGATTTTTATTTATTTGACAGATCACAAGTAGGCAGAGAGGCAGGCAGAGAGAGAGAGGAGGAAGCAGGCTTCCCACTGAGCAGAAAGCCCGACGTGGGGCTCGATCCCAGGACCCTGGGATCATGACCTGAGCCGAAGGCAGAGGCTTTAACCCACTGAGCCACCCAGGTGCCCCAAGATTGTATTTATTTTTTTAATTAATTTCTACACCCAGTGTAGGACTCCATCTTCCAACCCGAGATGAAGTCTCATGCTCCACCAACTGAGCCAGCCAGGCACCCCCCGATTTTTTTTCTAGTCATTCTTTTTTTTTTTTTTTCTTTTTTAAAGATTTTTATTTGGGAGAGAGAAAGAGAGCGTGCACATACCGAGCACACACAAGCAGGTGGAGTGGTAGAGGGAGAAGCAGAATCCCCACTAAGTGCAGAGCCCCCGTGGGGCTCTGTCCCAGATCATGACCTGAACCAAAGTCAGATGCTTAATCTAATTGAGCTACCCAGATGCCCCTCTAGTCATTCTTGATCCCTTCTTGTGCCTTGCTATTGTTCGTTCATAACACTGCTTATTATAAATTGCTCATTGTGTGCTGGCTTCTGAACCAGGTGTGCTTGCACCTAGTATATTTCCCCCTCTATCTGGAAACCTCTTCATTTGCTTAAGGAGCAGTATACTGTTTTTTGTATATTTTTGTATATTTGTATATTTTTGTATATTGTTTTCAAGATCAAAACCAAATGTTATCTTCCTCTAGGTTATATTTCCTGGTGATTAAAATTTTATTTTGGGTTCAGACTGGTCTTTTAATTTGTTAATTGCACCATTTAGAGAATATGGCCTGTATTATTTCTACCTCTTAAAATTTTTTTTACAACTTTTTTGGTGGCTCATGATAGTTGATTAGTTTTTTAGAAATATGCCAGGGTGGATTAATACCTTCCTCTGTGTTTTTTTCATCATCCTAATAAGATGCTCTCATTTAATTTTTTTAAGCAGTCTTTTCACACTATATGATAAAGCAGGATGGAGTGCACAGAGGATCCATTCCTAGTCTTCCTGGATTTCACCTTTCTTCCATGTTAAACATACCTGTGTAGTGTTTTTATATGCTTTTTTATTAATACTGTCACATCTGTGAATTTTACTTTAGCATTCATCTAGTACCTCCTGTCCATCATTCGATTTTTAGCTCTGCTTTGTTCTCTTGTTTTTGTTTTTGTTTTTTTTTAAGATTTTATTTATTTATTTGACAGATCACAAGTAGGCAGAGAGGCAGGCAGAGAGAGAGGAGGAAGCAGGCTCCCTGCTGAGCAGAGAGCCTGATGCGGGGCTCTATCCCAGGACCCCCCAGGACCCCGGGATCATGACCCAAGCTGAAAGCAGAGGCTTTAACCCACTGAGCCACCCAGGCGCCCCTGTTCTTTTGTTTTATTTGTAACTCTTGCAAGTAATCATTAATTTTGTCTGTTACTTTTGTCCAGAGATCTTTAGTACATAGATGGGCTGATTTTTATAAATTATCAGTCTTAAAAATCTGAGTTTTCAATTATTTATGTCAGTTATAAAATAAGTATTTAGTGATACAAATAATTTTTAACCTGAAAATATAATTATCATAAAGAAGGAAATATATTTCTTGTTATCTCAGCACCCCAAAATAACATCTTTATATTTTGCTGTATGTACTTTATTTATATATGGAGGAGGGAAAGGGTGAAAAAGAAGATAGAGAAAGGAATGGGGAACAAATTTCTGTGTCAGATGTCTTTAACATTTTTATTAATTTATTTTTTTATAAGTTAATGGCTTGTACTCTAGGGCAAGAGAAAACAAGTATTGTTTGTTTTAGCATGAGACACAATGCCTGCCTGATTGTGAACATTCAGTAAATGTTTAAGGAATGAAGAAAGAAAAAGAAAGCGGCTCCTGGGTGGCTCAGCCCTTAAGCATCTGCCTTAGGCTCAGGTCATAGTCCCAGGGTCCTGGGATTGAGCCCTGCATTGGGCTCCCTGTTCAGCAGGAGAAGCCTGCTTCTCCCTCTTCCACTCCCCCTGCTTGTGTTCCCTCTCTCATTGTTTCTGTCAAATAAAATCTTTTAAAAAGAGAGGAAGAAGAAAAGAAAGAAATGGCCCTCTTAATTTTTCTTTTTTTCTCTCTAAAGATTTCCATGGAGAATGATTATCTGGGTCCCCGAAGAATTGAAAGTCTACAAAAAGAAGATGCTGATTGGCAGCGAAAAGCTCACATGGCTGTGCTGTCTATTCAAGATCTTACTGTCAAGTATTTTGAAATCACAGCGAAAGCACAAAAAGGTGAGTTTCCTAGTAAAGTTATTCTTGTTAGATATTTTTGAAAATGACTGAAATATTTCATGTTTGCAGGAGTTCTATAGAATAATGTATAAAGACTACTCATAGTCCTAGTAGATAAAAAAGATCACTATTAGTAAATTATGGTAGATCCTTTCAGTCTTTTCTGGGCATGTGTTTACACATACTCCACCTTTAAAAAATAGTAATTGGGTGTTAGTGTAGCATAAGTCAATTCTGACACTAACCTGTTACCCCACAGCTTATGCGATGAAACTGCCCACATTTAAGACACTACTTGGAACCTTAGAGGGTCCCTGGGCCTTCTGCACTTCTCACCAACTGATGACAAACTTGGGGGTTTGCATGGCCTTTTTAGGTTTGATCATTTGCTACAATGACTCACAGAACTCAGGAAAGTACATGCTTAGGATTACAGTTTATAAATTATAAAAATCAAGACAAGCCAAATGAAGAGAGTCATAGGGCAAGGTCTTTGAAGGTCCATTCCTTTCAACTTCCTTCCATGGGTGGCCACGAAAATCCTTCAATAGCAGTTTAATCTTTGAATTGTTATTTATATTTCCTGAAGTTAGTTTCTGTACTCTTCCAAATAGTCAAAACCTAGTAAAATTATTTTATGTACTTGGATTTCTTTCTGGACTCTCTTTTCCAATGATAAGCCTTTTCTTATGCTCTGATTAATGATAATAGCTTCATAATGAAATTTATTACCTACATTATCAATTAACCCTCATTATTATTCAGAAATCTTTTGGGTGTATAGTCAGTTACTCTTCTCTAAGATAGTACTATCATCCTTTTTGAAAAATCATTTCTTCCCAAACTAATGTAATTCTTATCAGAACTGCAATATTGTAGACTTTGACAAGAGGATTTTCATATTCATGGGAGGAGTAAATGCTTTCTTTTCTTTTCTTTTTTTTTTTTTTTTTTTTTTAAAGAGTTTATTTATTTGACAGAGAGAGATCACAAGTAGAGAGAGCGAGGAGGAAGCAGGCTCACTGCCTAGCAGAGAGCCCGATGTGGGACTTGATCCCAGGACCCTGAGATCATGACCTGAGCTGAAGGCAGAGGCTTAACCCACTGAGCCACCCAGGCAGCCCCTTCTTTTTTTATTTTTAAAGATTTTATTTATTTTGAGAGAGAAAGAAAGCACAAGCAGGGGAAGTGCAGAGGGAGGAGAAGCAGGCTCCCTGCTGAGCAGGGGACCCATTGCAGGGCTTTATCCCAGGACCCCGTGATTGTGACCTGAGCTGAAGGCAGACACTCAACTAACTAAGCCACCTGGGTGCCCCACAGAAGTGGTTTTTAACTAAAGGTGATTGTGCCATGCAAAAGGACATTTAACAGTCTCTGGGGACATTTTGGTTGTCACAACTACTAAGAGTGTTACTAGCATTTAGTAGAGCCATGGATTAAGTGAAACATCTTATGTTACATAGGACAGCCCAGTCTATGACAAAGAATTTTCTGGCTCAGAAGGTCTAAAGTGCTGAGTTTGAGAAGCTTTATCTTCTTAAAAAAAAAAAAAAATGCATGGTTAATCATATCAGTAAATGCTGAAAAAGCATTTGACGAAATACAACATGCTGTGTGTGATGAAAACACTCAGCAAACTAGGAATAGAAAAGAACTTCTGTAAGTCTGATAAAGCACATCTGCAAAAACCCTATAGCCAACATTGCATTTAATGTGGAAGACTGAATGCTTCCCCCCCAAAATAGGTACAAAGTGTAGGATGTTTACTCTTGACCCCTCTTTCTTATTCAGCGTAATATAATAAATCTTAGTTGTAATAAGGCAAGAAGAAGAAATAAAAAGATTCTAGTTGGAAAGGAAGAAATAAAGTGGTTCCTATTTTAGATAATACTGTTCATGTTGAAAATTGTATGGAATCTGTATTTATTTATTAATTTATTAAAAGATTTTGTTTATTTATTTGATGGAGAGAAACACAGTGAGAGAAAGAATACAAGCAGGGGGAGTGGGAGAGGAAGAAGCAGGCTTCCCGCTGAGCAGAGAGCCCGATGCTCGGGGCTCCATCTCAGGACCCTGGGATCATGACCTGAGCCGAAGGCAGATGCTTAACCACTGAGCCACCCAGGCACCCCTGGAATCTATTTTTAAAAACTTCAGGGGCGCCTGGGTGGCTCAGTGGGTTGAGGCCTCTGCCTTCGGCTCGGGTCATGATCCCAGGGTCCTGGAATCGAGCCCCTCATCGGGCTCTCTGCTCAGCAGGGATCCTGCTTCCCCTCCTTCTCTCTCTGCCTGCTTCTCTGCCTACTTGTGATCTCTGTCAAATAAATAAATAAATATATTTTAAAAAAATAATAAAATACAATAAAAATAGAAAAAATAAAAACTTCAGACTACCAAGTGACTTTCTCAGGGTAACAGGAAATAAAATGGTCAGCACCCAAAAATGTATCCTATTTATATAGGCAATGAATAGTTGGAAATAGAAATTTTTTAAAAAATTCCATTTATAATAAGTCTGACAAAACATGTACAGGATTCATAATGCTTACAATTAGATAATATGAGGAAGAAATCATAGATCTAAGTAAATGGATAGACATGTTGTGTTCATGTATTGGAACATCCAACATAGTAATGATGTCTGTTCTCTCCAAAGCAATCTATAGACTCAACAGAGTACCTGCCAAAAAGCAGGACTTTTTCCTATAAACATAAACAGCCTGATTCCAATTTACATGGAAAAGCAAAGGAACTAAAATACCTAAAACAGTTTAGAAAAATAGAAAACCGGAGACATATTACCTGACTTTATAAATTATAGAGCCACTGTGACATGGTATAATGGAAGGGATAGACTGTGAATCAGTGGGTTAGAACAGAGAATAATAAACTCACAACACATGGCCATTTACTCTGCAAATTAGTGCCAGAAAAGATGTTCAAGGCCATCAGTCATTAATATGCAAATTAAATCACAACGAGATAGCAACACATGCCTATTAGAATGGCTAAAATAAAAAAAAATACAATATCAAGGGTAGACAAGGATGTAGAATAACTAAAGAACCCTCCTTCTATTGCTGGCTGTAATGCAAAATTGTATAGTCTCTGGAAAATGAATGCAATTTTTAAAATATTTTATTTATTTATTTGAAGTAGATGGAGTGAAAGAGAGCACATGCAGAGGGAGAGAGAAAAGCAGACTCCCTTTAATACCAGGACTGTGGGATCATGACCCAAGCCGAAGGCAGATGCTTAACTAACTGAGCCACCCAGGTGCGGTGCAATTTCTTAGTAAGTTAAAGATGTGCTTACTGTATGAACTAAGAATTGCATTGTGGGTATTCGCCTTAGAGCATCATGACAATTTAAAAAATAAGTGATAAATACGGTACATTAAAATGTTAGTAGTAGGGGCACCTGGGTGGCTCAGTGGGTTAAAAGCCTCTGCCTTCCGCTCAAGTCATGATCCCAGGGTCCTGGGATTGAGCCCCGAGTTGGGCTCTCTGCTCGGCAGGGGGCCTGCTTCCCTTCCCCTCTCTCTGCCTGCCTCTCTGCCTACCTGTGATCTCTGTCTGTCAAATAAATAAATAAAATCTTTTAAAAAAAATTAGTAGTAGTTCATTTTAAGGTTTAAAGATGTCTTTTCCTACTGTAAACCGTTTTTATGAAATAATTTTCAGTAAATTTGGTGTAGAGTCTGCTTTCTGTGCTTTCTAGTTGCACTAGTGTTCTAAAAGAGAAAGTTTGCATTATGGTTAAAAATATATAACCATTATAGGGGCACCTGGGTCGTTCAGTTGGTTAAGCTTTTGACTCTTAATTTTGGCTCAGATCAGGATCTCAGGCTCCTGGGATCCAGCCCCATGTTGGGCTCCTTGCTCAGTGGGGAGTCTGATTAAAATTCTCTCCCTCTCCAAAGAATCTGTACTCAGAAAACTATGGAATACTCATGAAAGAAATTGAGGAAGGCACAAAAAATGGAAAAACGTTCCATGCTCATGAATTGGAAGAACAAATATTATGAAAATGTCTATGCTACTTAGAGCAGTCTACACATTTAATGTGATCCCTATCAAAATACTATCAACTTTTTTCAAAGAAATGGAACGAATAGTCCTAAAATGGATATGGAACTAGAAAAGACCCCAGATAGCCAGAGGAGTGTTGAAAAAGAAAACCAAAGCTGGCAGCATCACAATTCCAGTCTTCAAGCTCTATTACAAAGCTGTCATCATCAAGACAGTAGGGTACTGGCACAAAAACAGACACATAGATAATGGAACAGAATATAGAACCCAGAAATGGACCCTCAATTCTATGGTCAACGAATCTTTGACAAAGCAGGAAAGAATGTCCAGTGGAAAAAAGACAGTCTCTTCAACAAATGGCGTTGGGAAGATTGGACAGCCACATGCAGAAGAATGAAATTGGACAATTTCCTTACACCAAACACAAAAATAGACTCAAAATGGATGAAAGACCTCAATGTGAGACAGGAATCCATCAAAATCCTAGAGGAGGGGGAGGAGTCAAGGTGGCGGAGAAGTAGCAGGCTAAAACTACTTAGGTAGCAGGAGATCATCTAGATAGCTTATCTAAAGATGCAAACACCTACAGATCCAATGGGAGATCGAAGAGAAGAACAGCAATTCTAGAAACAGAAAATCAACCACTCTCTGAAAGGTAGGACTGGCGGAGAAGTGAATCCAAAGCGACGGGAAGATAGACCGCGGCAGGAGGGGCCAGCTCCCGGCAAGCGGCGGAGCAACGGAGCACAAAATCAGGACGTTTAAAAGTCTGTTCCCCTGAGGGACATCGCTCCAGAGGCTTAACCGGGGTGAAGCCCACGCGGAGTCAGCGTGGCCTCAGGTCCCGCAGGGTCACAGAAGGATCAGGGGTGGCTGAGTGTCGCAGAGCTTGCAGGTATTAGAACGGGGAAGCCGGCTACAGAGACAGAGCCAGGGAGTGAGCTCTAAGCTCAGGGTTACCTTGAACCG